GACTCAACCCAACCACTTGGCTGGGTGTTCTGTTCCCTGACCACCCTTTCGGTGAAGAAGTTTTTCCTAATATCCAACCTAAACCTCCCCTCACACAGCTTGAGGCCGTTTCCTCTCGTCCTATCGCTTGTTACTAGGGAGAAGAGACCGACCCCCACGTCGCTACAACCTCCTTTCAGGTAGTTGTAGAGAGCAAAATGCAGCTGCCTTGGATGGAAGGCTTCATGGTAGGGAAGAGAAGCAGGTGGCTGAATGCATTTTATCTGATGTGTTCTTTGCAGGTGTACTTTCTGCTTGCACGTGTACATATCTGTGTACACTACCTTCCATTAACTGGCCATGGTGAGTTAGAAGAAAATGGGTTCAAATCACTAGATATTTTTTTTTTTTTTGGTGTGCGGTATGTCAGTGGAAAAAGGGTCTGTTTATGGCAGCATTTTAGTTTAAATCAGGATAAATGGTTTGAAGGAAAACTGATTTCCCTCCTTGCTGAGCTTCTGTTTGCTTTTTGGAGTGAGTGGTATCAGAGCATATGGACTGAATTCAGTTTGGATTAAACTAAACCTGAATATGTGCTCAGTGAAGTCCCCTGACATGCTGTTAGCTGCTAATGGCCATTTAGTCCATAGGACCAGATTAGACCTTGCCTGAAGCAACCCCCTTGAACAGTGTCCGGTGTGGATGCTAGGTCCTCAGCACCTAGGGACAATTTTGGGACAATTCATGATACCATCTTTTGTTTTCTTAAATAAATATTTTTTTTCTGTGCATGACAGACAGCACGTCCAGTAATTGCAAATCTTGACATGGCATCTGATAAGTCTACTATAGATTTCATTTATTTGCTTAGCAGAAAACATGGTAATGTTTTATTACGCACTTTAGATGCTTTGACTCTGTCCTTCATATCCCAATTCACTGCCCTGCCATCTTAGGCTAATGATGAAGAGTGTGAACCAAATTGCGGTGAATTCTTGCACCTGAACTTTTCTATCAGTCTGCCTGCTCTTGGTGTGGGCTGATCTCTGTTTACAAGGTGATTTCTAGCTTTTTGTTCTCAGGTTTCTGAAGTGTAGGTCTAAGGAATTGTGGAGGGGATTATCATCGACTTCTTATTTACTTGTGGGAAAGCTACCAACGTAGCTATGCAAAGCAGGCTGCTAGATAATAAAATTAAACGTGGATCAAAAAGGATGAAGTCTATGGCAAAAAACCTGAATTTCCTCTTGGAAAAATGCCAGTTTTCCCAGCCAGAAAATTGTGAATTGTACAAAGTCATAATAGGGAAATGAGGGAGGTCACATATCTCAGAAATCTTGTGGGCAGATGCTCCTGTTTACAGCTAGCTTACAGTTCTGAGATTTTTCCAGGACTGTAGAAGGTAGAATCAGAGTTTAAAGAATGAACCTCCTATTTGGAATGCAATACAGCAAGTAAGAGCTAATTCTGAAATTAATTTCTCATCCGTGGGATCACAGGACAAGATACTTCCTTAATGGTTTTGTTAAACAATATGATTCATGCGCATTTTAAATCTCCTGTCTACAGAAAACCTATGTCCCTTCTTGATTCTCTGCCACAGTAGTGTAAGAGAGGAAAAGATGGATAAAGTGACAAAGAGGTATCCATTCATATTTTTTTATCCGCTGAATACGTTACAAATGGAATTGCCAAATAATTTTCTGTGAACACTGTAGAGGAGAAATACTGTTTGTTTGGATGGTTGATGAGGAATGCTTTAGAAGTAAACTCTGAGTCACTTTTAAATGTGTAGGTTACTCACCTAAGGTGCAGAAATGCCAGGGTATGAATTAGGGAGCCACTCGCCCAGAAGGGCAGGAAATAGGTTTGTCAGCTCATGTTTCCCCTTATCCCAAGATTTGAGTGCTGGCCTTCCAACATTTCCAGTTTACGACCACAGATTTTGCCCACCATGCCCCTTGACAGCTTTGCCGAGTCTGCCTTTTCCCACTTGATGCTGCTGCATAATCCCATTCGATCCCGCATATGAACAGCAGGGCTGTGAGGGGTCCTAGGGACATTAACAGCTCCTAGCAGAAGAAAATAAAATGCCAGCACCCTCTTTATTTGGCTGACACAACGATCCTGTACTAGCTGGTTCATTAAAGGGATGTTGCAAGATAGTGATTACAGGGAAAGTTCAGCTGGTTTCCCTTTGAAATACATAAAGGTGGTGTTCAGGTAATGGTTTTGAATGTTAGTCCTTTTGATGTCTGCAGGCTTTACACTTACACATCTGGAAGCCTGCACACCTAGCTATAAACAGACATTGCAGCTATGTTTCACAGCTGGCTTTACAAAAGATCAGCAGGACGCACATCACTTACAAATGCCACTCTTTTCTTTTTCTTTAGCTTGCTTGAAATTGTATGTTGTTAACTTGTTACTTGCTTTGGTGATTGTTTTATTCATTTTCTTTTTACTCACCTTCAAAGAATAAGCAGTCTGTCCCCACAGACTTTGCCGTGTTGCCATAGGAATAGCTGGGGCTGAGGACCGGCATTTGTTCTCGGAAGCTGATTCAAGACCCGCTGAGGAGCGTGTGAAGGCTTTGCTACGGTCCTGAGTGCCCCCAGCCCATCGTGAAAGAGATGAGGATATCCTGCCAATCAAAAGAGACATGGTGGGGTCAGTTAGGACACAAGTCTTACTAATTTCAGTCTCTCTAGCCTCGTATTTAATTACCTTTTACTTCTAGATTCAACTTCAGTCTGTATAAGGAGTGACAAAATGTCATTATCATTCAAAAAGTGCTTTATGGAAGCAATGTCTATGGAAAACTTCTTAGAGTTACAGCTCAAAAGCAGTATGCATGTTCTCACCCAGAAATGGGAGTGACTATAATTACTTTTTGAAAGACTTGGCAAAAAATGCCATTGCATTTGAGATGCTGTTTGATTTAGAGAGTTGGCCATGTCTTCCTGGGTAAGTGCTGTACTGGTCGTGCTGTCTGGTGCCAGCTACCTACCTCATAAATAAGCAGGTTTGGGGCTTTAAGATTGCTATGTTAAACATAAGAGTTTGCTACTTAGGACATAAGACCAAGGATTTTCCAAATTCACAGTTTCCCTGCTTTCCAATTGGGTCTCATGTTGAGCTATTGGAGTTAGAGACTGGATAAATCCAGAACCATGGTGTTAACATCCTTCAAATACTTCGTTATAACTGGAGGAGTATGTCTGGACAGGCGTGCAAGGACATAAGCGTGGCTGGAATGAGTCAGATCAAAGATGAGTTTAGTCCAGGACCCTGCCAATTTGGTAGTGGTTGGCTACAGATATCTACAGGACAACAAGATAAATAGGACCATATAGAGTTGTTTTTCCACCTCTGGCAATATTTGGTAGAGGGACTTTATGAAATGAAGGTTACAATCTGGATCATTGTACTCAACACTTTATAATGGAAGTAACATTTTATTTGATGACTGCTGGTTACAGCTCTGGTATTTTCAGGGAATAGGAGTTCCAAGACGTCCCTCTTACCCCACGGCAGCCTGGGCAGGGGGACTTGTCCAAAACTGCAGAGTTGAGGCGTAACTTTCTTCTCTAAAATCTTCGTGGTATCCTGCCCACTCTTTTGTCTTTATCCTGGTGTCTGCTAATAATTTTTCATTATGGTCTCAAACAAGGTGCCCAGTGCTAATTATTTACTGATTTCTAGTTTTATTGGTCTCCCCTTGAGCCCTTTTGAAAGCAGGCATCGCATTTGCAATCTTCCCTTCCTCTGATACTAAGGCTGGTGCAAGCTCTAAGTTTCATATCCCAGTTAGCAGTTCAGTGAGTCCATACCCGAGTCATTTGAACTCTGATACCCTTTGGTGAATAACGCAGGTGAATATCCTGTGGTTAATTACCCTGTCCTATTTACCCTAGGACAGAAATAGAAAGAAAATACAATGGATTAACACTTACACAATTAAAACATTATTTATATAGAGCTTTTAAACCAAACTGACAAAATGTGTAGCAGCAATTCGTTAGCTCATGTCTCTGTGATACTCAGTTTGGTCTAAAACCTCCATAAAAATAATGCTTTTACTACATCACTGCCCACACATTGCAGTATTTTTTTTAATAAACACAGAAATTAAGGAATCTCCCATTTTTTCTCTAATTTCTAAAAAGTGGAGAACAAGAAAGTGCTGTATCTTAGACAAGACAGGTTTTCAACCATCCAGTTCCCATCCAAGTCCATCAGTCCTCCCTCCCTTTCTCCTCCCCAGGAACACATTCCTGCAAAACTTTGGTTGAAATTGCTTTGTTATTTTCAGGGAGCTCTGCCAGTTTGCAGCCCATGCCATGACACAGCATTCCTCCCGCTTTGTTTGGGCTGCTACGATTTTGAGCTGACATTTAGCAAAATTGCATTAATGCCTCCCTAAGACAAGACTCCTTGTTGAATGCAGTTGGCTGAAGTTGCAAATTTTAGGCACAGGCATGAGTGGGGCGTGCAGCCATGAATCCCAAAAGGGAGCTCCCCCCTTCCTTGGGGGTGTATGGCTTGTTTTGTCATGGAGCTCACCTTGGGCATGGGTTGCAGCTCTGAGACAGCCAAATGGGACAAAACCATTCCAGGGACTGCCATTTCCCATGGCATTTTGAGGGGCAGGCAGTGTGGGGAAGACTTTTCCAAACCCTATAAAGACCCTCATCAAGTACCTGCGTGAGGCTGAGCATAGACTATTTTGGACTGATGATTTTGGTATACATATCTGGGGGACATCCTGGGTATATTTATTTTCCAGCATTTGATTTAGGGCTTGACTTCACTGAAGTCAATAGAAGCTTCCCTACTCACTTCAGTAGACCTGAATCAGGGCTGCAATATAAAGTATAGTGCAACTAGAAAGTATAAAACTGTAAGTGTATGTTTGTTACTTAGTCAGTGCTGAAACATCTTTAAATTAGCAACAAATGCTCTTTTGAAGCCATCACAGTAAAAGTATTTCACAACAAACCATCCACTGCCAAACGAGGCAGCTTTTGCTAATGGAGGCTTATAGGAGTTAGCTGGATAGGTGAATTAAATAGTAAATGTTTGTTTTCTACTTAGTGAATGTCTGTCATAGCCCTGCTAAGTAGCCAGAAACAAATTATGTGTGAAACTCAGCATCCCTCTCCCTCTCTTTTTTTCTCTCCTGTGATTGGTATTTGCTTATGCAGCCCGAGTCCTTAATTTAATTAACGGGAACATGCTTATTTTACAAATGATAACCTTGTAATCTCCTTAGCAGGAAAAAAAAGGGACATTTTTACCACAAGCTGTTCTTGGTTACACATCATTTTATTACCAATATTATTGTGGTCCTCTGTTTATTAAAAACTAAATTAATCTTTCTGATTATTTCCATTAACTTACAAGTGGATTTTATTTACATAAAATAGATGGGAAAACCACAAAAATATCCTGAAGCTGTGTGTCATTAAACAGACTTCTAGAGTAGCTCAATTTTTAAGTGCTTGTGTCAAATATAAAATGAATTAACATTGACTGTTTTTAATATTTTCTTTAACAGAATAATTGAGTGGATTCTCCCCTAGTGTCACCGTTTTGACCAAAGCTGTCAGCTGTACACTTCAGTGAAATTTCACATATCCCCATGAAAGGTAAAAAATGAATAGATGTGAGTAGCTAGCAGAGGTATTTTTAAGTATGTGTATCTGTAGACGCATTCATAGAGCTGTGGCTGTTATATTTTTTTGTGATCCTTCAGCACAGCATATAAAGAACCCGTTCTGCCTTAAACGTGGATTTATGATTGTCAGTTCATGCACTCTTCCCTTTTATGAGGAATATATCCTTAGTGCACTCCTACCACCAACATAACGAAATATTTTTATTGATGGTCACATGTAAAGGCAGTTCTGTTAACGCAGCAACTTTACAGGTGAGTGCCCAACTGTGTCCCTATGAAATCAGTAGATACCTGTAAAGCTAGTGGGGCTTTCTGCAGAATCAGGAGGACAATGTATTTGATGGTCCTATGAATAGAATCAGAATAAATTGGCAAGCAGATACATATTTGCTTCCATATTTTTCTTAATTAACTTTTGGAGAGTGTAAACAATGAACAAATGCAAATTTATAGTACCTCATCTTCCAAAAATCTAATGGAAAGAAATCTCAGATTTATGTCACCAGGAGAAGTGAATATAATCATTTTCAACCTGCAACTATGGTACCCAAAGGAACACATACAACTTTTTGTTAAAATGCATATATATTCCTTGTTTCTGCATCTGTTCACCTTTCTGTAAGAGTCACCACAAGGTGATTACAGCAGAATATTTTTGTGACTATTAATCTATCATTCAGCATCGGTCATTCGATGACTGCACTGGTAGCCTTATTTATTTTCTGTGATTGTTCTGCAGAAGAGCAAGAACATTTGTTTAAACACTGAGCTTTAAACTAATAATGTAGGATATGCTTCCAAGCACATGCATTCCCTCATTCTGGGAGGTCACTAATTCCCACTCACCTGACTTGCAAGCAGAAAGCATCAGGAGATCCTTTTTCCACCAGTTAAAACCTGAAGAAGTATTTGTTGATGTTTCAACCGTTATTCTCAAAATATTTTAACTGATCTATTTTTCTGTTCTTTGTTTTGCTGCGTACCTGTGACTACCAATAAGCTGAGGCCTAAAGGCTCCAGATAAGTCCTAATGATATGCGCTAATTATTCTACTAAGGCCACCCACATATGCATAGGAGGACTTTGTAGAAACATGGTAATTGCAGTTAGATTTCTAGTATGAACATTGCCATTGTGATATTTATTTGATAATAAAAAGTGTAAAAGCCCCAGACTGAAATGAAATGTCTAAATTTTTAACCTCAGGAAGTATTTTGATAGACTTTCAACACGTTAACCATTGCGGTTGTATTTACTCTTTTGTTCCGTATTTTGGACTAAAATGTATTTGAAAACTATAACATTTACTGAACAAGCTCTAGTCTATTACAGCCTGAGGAGCTGTAATATGACGTACTTCATTCCATGAAGTCACGTTCTTTGCTATTTACTAGTCATTAATGCAAAATATTAACTCCAGGAGTTATTTGCCAAGGCATGAAATAAAATGGTATTTTATGGCTAGAATACCTATTCTATAATTTAAATTTTGTATATATGTATATACATTTAAATGAGCAAAATAAATAACAAGAATTAATTTAAAACAAGTGACTGTCTTGGATGTGACTAGTATTACTAGAATAAAGATTTGTGGAAGACGCTAAATTTCTGAACTTCGAGGTCAAAGACTTTCAGTTTATCTTACCGTGTAATTTCTTAGGTTTCCATTTATAGATCTGACTTCAGCAGTGTTCTGCATTCAAATTCTTTAAAACACAATCACTATTTAACACAAAGCTATGTGTAGAGATAGCCATCTATATAGATATCGTTCTGCCTAAAATACACTTTGCTTTGATTATTCCATCAAGGCATACCTTCTTTGCATGGCATAAGACTATCATAGTTGTATTTATAACCTA